CTACATACGATATGTTTGTATGGTATGTTCGTGGTACGGTAATAAGTCTTGAAATGCATTCTTAATTGTCTTCTGTCACGAAAGCGCAACGATTTACGTGGAAAAACGCACTCATGATAATTAATTGCACGTTCTACGAACTCACTCATAGTGAAACTTGACAATTGGTTGCATTTTCAATGTGCCGCAAACAGCCGGGTGGCGTGATAGTTCTAATTATTATACTGTTTTTGAAGGTGCTCGCGATCAGTGCCAGCAAAGATACACTTTTGAACTTAAAGCAAATATATAATAACTTTGGTAGTATGCATTCTACGAAGAATAAACTTTTAAAGCATAATCTTCTTCTATTAAAAGAGCGACGTGACGACGATAAGTTTGTAGAATCAACAATTTATATTTTCTAATTTTTACAATTTTTTTACTTTTATGAGCGAATATAAAGATAGGAGGCGAAAAATTAGAAAAACATCCCGATTTTAGATATCTAGGAAGTCAAAAAAGCCAGGACGGATGGAGTAGTAATGATAGAAAGCAGAGGATAGCGCAGGGTTGAATCGCCTTCAATAAAAATAAGTCAAAGGTGTATGTTTGGAGCACGGCGCTGTACGGGTGCGAAACATGGACAGTGGGCGCGGAGGAAAAGAAAAGGTTAGAAGCGTTCGAAATGTGGTGTTACAAGCGAATGATGAGGATACCGTAGATAGAGAAGGTGATAAATGAAGAGATATTAGAAAGAGTAAGAGAACAGAGGACTTTATGAAAGACAATAAGAAATAGGCGAGATAGGTCTCGAGTAGGTCTAGTCAGAGACATTTAGAGATAGAAACGGGAGTTAGGAGGGGTAGAGATAGACTTAGATTAGATTACTGTTCGAAAATAGAGAAGGATGTGGGATTTTCTTGTTTTAGGGAAATGCGAAGATTAGCTCAGGATTGAAAAGAGTGGAGTTGGGAGTCCAACCAGTCTTAGGACTGCGACTTTATGATGACAATTTTTATTATTAAGGAGATCCATTAAATTATACTGTACAGTTTTAATTGATTAATTGATCACGATATAGGCATATGGATAGTTAGTTATTCGGAAGTAGTGCTTCCGTACTTCGTAGATACATATGCACCACACATGTAGGCATCAGATTAAAAGTCTTGGCACATGACACATAACGCATGCCAAAATAAGGATACTTACATGTGTTTTCGTGCAATTGTTTCTTGAAAAAAGTTCGCGTTCTTGCAGACGATCTCTTCGCTGGTACCGCTTAAACAGGTGTACCAAGGAAGTCGTTCGTTAGAACTTCAGGAAGTATTAGTGGCCATTATGACCATTTCATTGAGGTAATATTTATAAGTTCAGGGAGGAAGTCTTATCCCACGGCCCAAAATTTATGTGCACAAAATTTTTATTTCATTTTCGTACTGCATTATCTTACAATTAAAACAGATTTTCGTACTGAATTCTCTTACAATTAAAGTAAAAATTAAAGTTAATTGTGTATTTTTAGAACATCATCCGTTTGAAGGTGAAAAATGGCCCATTACCCTGCCTGTAATGTAATTTGTATCCCTAATAATTTATCGTTAATCAAAAAACTTTTTATCAGTACTTATATTTTTTCAGGTTAGAAGCCTTCGAAATGTGGTGTTATAGGCGGATGATGAGGATAGGATAACGTTGGTAGAAAAGGTTAGAAATGAAGAGGTATTAGAAAAATAGGAAAACAGAGGACTCTATGGAAGTAAATAAAAACTAGGCGAGATAGGTTGGTAAGACACCTTCTCAGGCATGAAGGTCTAGTCAGAAACATATTAGAGGCAGAAGTAGGAGTTAGGAGGGGTAGAGGTAGACCTAGATTAGATTACTGTTCACAAATAGTTAAGGATGTGGGTTGTTCTACTTTTAGGGAAGTGCGAAGTTTAGCTCAGGATAGGAAAGAGTGGAGGTACGTGTCCAACCAGTCTTAGGACTGACGACCCTATGATGAATTTACTTATAAAATTTAAAAAGAAAAAGGACTTACCTACAACTAAGATAGACATGTCTCGCTCTCGTTTTAGTATGCTAAAATATTTTTTACAATCATGTACTTACAACTGCCTATCTTTTACGTTAACATGTATGAACCAACGGATGAAGTGATAAGAGATACTCTCATGTAATGTTTAACGACAACTTTTATTACAACTATGTTAAAATGTCATATAAACAAATATACATGTATTACACCAAAATATACCTAACGTGCATGTACATAATATTGTACAAAACACGTACTTGCCAAGTACCTACAAGCTCAAACTTCCGGTTAACAAACTCAACCGTATCCGTTACATTGCAGGAAAGTATGCGTACATTGTAAATCATGTTAACCACAATCACCAAACTACACCATACCATTGTCAAAATAGTTTTTTAGTATTACAGCAGTTAGCAAAAAAAGTCTATTGTTCAAGCACAAGGAACGAGTATATCGTGATGCGCAATTTGCGGGTTATTCTTACGTAAAGCCATTTTTGTGGTTACGGTTACAGTAATACACAATACAAAAACTTAAACGGATAGCGGTACTTGCTTATCAATCAGCCCTATTTTCCCTTCTATTCTCATAAAAACTTAGGCTTTAATGTTAAATTGATTTAATGGTTTTCTTTTAAATTCATAATACAGTTGAATTCGTTTATTATGACTCCACCTGTATTGACCAACCGCTTAATATGAAGTAATTCCAGTGTTAAGTTTGGTTTTCATATTAAATTCTTAATAGGAAAGTTCGGATATAATGATTCCGTTTAAAATGACATATAGTGACCCAAATGATTAATAATAACATTTTCGCTCATTTTTTTGGCCCTTCCTAAAAAAGAGCTAGATCCGCTGAGTACTGAATGCAAACGGGATACCTGCCCTATGCCTAATATATATAGGATTGTCAGATCTACTGGGTGAGTTCCGGGGCAAATAAAAACAAAGCCAATTATAAATACAAACATACACATATACCTTATTTCCCTTAATTGAATACCATTAACTTATTTAAATACATGCATCATTGATAGTGGCAGCTGTAATCATCTCTTTACAATTGTCATAATACAGAACAAGACAAACTAACACTAATTCTCATTTGGAGTTCTGGATTTACGAAAGCTCCATGGACGTGCGGTTTCTTTCTTTCATCCATCAGTCATTTGAAAATAAGACTAAAGATTCGTTTGCAGAAAACATTAAGTACTGATTGGTACCTATACATGCATATAGAATTAACGAAATTGAGGCCAGAAGTCGGCGAGTAATTTTCGAATTTCTAAATTAATCGTTCACGAGCATAGAAGTGACTTCTTTTTATTGAAGGCGATTCGACCCTGCGCTATCCCGAGCAAATACCATTCGAGAAAACGTTTATTTTCTTGTATATTCATTTTAGAAGCAAACAAGCGAGTAGTGATTTTCCGAAACGTTCGTGGAAATTCCGGCACCCAGAGCATACGCTCGAATTCCAGGACAATCTGGGTGGCTCGCCCGTCTAAATGTACATAAATACATACTGGAAGGGGTGCTTTTCCATTTTACGGCGAGTAACAACAATTGTTTGTTGTTAAGGTGGCGAATAAATAAATGCAGTCATGCAGTGTATCGTCAAAAAGTTTTATATAGACCATTAGCATTACTACATAAGTTGTACAATATTTAAAAAGTGGAAGCAGTATAAAAATTTCTTATTTTTCAATTTCATCTTTTCAGTGAGTTGGCCTTTCTGTTATCAAGTAAACGAGTAGCTGCTACTTATTCTCTGTCAGAGCACCTTCCTCTGACTTATTACACACCACATAAATACAACTATACCAGTTACTATTCTTGAATTACGTAAATTCCGATTTAATCACTTTCACTGTGTTAATACGCAATGCAGATGTTTCAAATGAAGAAAAAAGATCGTAAAAAATAGTCGTTAACGAAACACATATCTCGTCTATGAAGTGAGATTGTGGAAGTGGTAGTTGATGAGCCATTATAATTTTTTGCAATCCGAAGCTTAAACTACATAGAATACATGGGTAAGTACAAGCATAAATATAAAATTAAACAAATTATTATGATGTAGTAAAGAAAACAGCCGGAGTAATAATATTAGACAACCCAATTCATCTTTCAGTTAAAAACTTTACTGAACTCGTTTTTTCTTCAATAAAATTGTATTAGTCAGTTTATTTCTAAATTGATTGATTGTTATAAGAATTGTATGGACCTCAATAAAATGTCCATTTTTGCACTAAAAAATTATACTGTCACATTAAATCTTATCCGTTGTTATTACTTATCTATAAAAATCATGTTTGAATACGGATTTATTGAGACACTCAAATTAGTTTTTATTCTAAAATTATTTTCGGGTAAATTTTCTCTCTTATTTGGAAGTAACCAGATAGTAACGGTAATAGAGCGTAAGGTTTTATTAGACAAAAGACGTCCGGGCGTCTTCAACTATACTAATATCAAAGGAACGAAATTGGCCATAAAAGGGATGACTTTTTATGAACGAAGTTATTTTTCACAAGCCAATTTAAGTTTATCCGCACAATAACGACCTTGTGTAGGTACCTACTGTAATTATTCATTAGTAAATGGCATTTTTACCGAAATTACTGTCAAGTAGGAATTCCTTAAACCTTGACAACAAAGAAACTCATGCAGCAAAACCTAAACGAATCCAGATTTCAGCATAAACGTTATTCAATCATCGAATATTGTTCTTTAATGTATCTACTTATATTTAGATTTATTTGTGGCATAATAGAATAAGAGGCTTAGCAACCTTCGGCTGTCAGATCTATCGCTCAACGATTTCATTTTTCATGAGATAAATACCATATACGCGACCCCAGTATTGTTTTCAATACTAAAAATACTCTTGGAACAAATAATCTCCTGCATGTGACGAGTCTTGTGGGACGTAGGTGGGTATTATTAAAAATTGTTTCAAATACGGGATGACTTACCGCTTTGGCATCGCCCTGGGATCTTCGCACCCAGATATCATCATCTGTACTGCCACAATCAAGCGTGCTCGTGCTGGACGTTTGGCTTCTCATTTCGATCAGCGATTGATCGAAGAATCGTCGATCGTAATGCGGACTCTGTAGCGACGGGGTTCTGCTAAAGAGCGAATACACGGACGGCCTTTTCGATTCGTCAGAAGTTGGAAAATGAACTGTGTTCGATTGCCGATATTCCTTCCGTTTCGCAAATATTTTGGCCGCTTCGGACGGCTTCTTCGACGTACCACCGTCGAACGACGAATACTGTAGATGGTTTTTCTCAAGTTTCGACTGTTTTGGCTTAGTGATGACGAATTTTTTGGTCGGTCCGCTGACCGTGTCGATGACGGAGCACTTGGACCCGCTCGAAGATGCTTCCGACAAACTCTTTTCACTACCCGAATTGTTATTTTTTGGTAAATCCACTGAATCGTCTTTCTCACTGGTATCGTTTTTCTCTTGCTCTTCTTCTTCTTCTTCGCGACATTCCGAAAGTCTCCGGCCGTACGTGTTCACAACATTTCTTACCGGCAAATTGTTCATATGATTTTGGAAATAGTGCGAGAAAAAGGTGCCGTTTAGATCAAAATCTTCGTCCGCGCCTTGATCTTGCATAATGTCCTTGAGCACGTTGTAGGCGGCGTTGTTAGTGTTGATCGTGGACACTAGATCTGAGTCGATGTCACTTTCGTCGGACGAATCGTAAACCTTCTTAGAACCTTCTGAAGGCGACGACTTACTATTCGCGTCCTGTGGACGAGTGTCACCTGATAGCGAAACGTCGGGTTCCATCTGTGCGCGAGTCAAATTGATACCAGTTAAATCTTGACAACGATTAGAACAATTGAAGATTGTTACAGTTACAAACTTGGATTTATTTATCAAAAAATGTCTCTACACAAATGTAGTTTCTCTTTTCAGACGTTACAAATAAGCATAAAAAATAATAATCAATCATTTTCAAATACCTACACGCTTTTATTTTTCTTGTTTTATTACTAAATGAAAAAGGAATAACAGATAAAAATAACTTATCACTTACACACAAATTTGCTGTTTTTTTTTATGAGCAACGCCATATGTTGTGTTTGTAGTTTTTTGCTAATGTATAGACAAGTTTGAAAGATAGTGTAATGATTTTTATTTTATTGAGAGATTACGGTTACGTCATCACACCTATAAATGTAATGGCTGAAGATAGCAACTTCACATTGAACTCAGTTTTATTATAGAAAAAAAAGATAAAAGTTCACGTATAGGTACAATGTGTAGGTACCCAACTACCAAGTATTTAACAGTATAGGTTTTTGGTGATGAATTTGCGGTGAGTTTCTACGATTTTTCTTAGAAAAACATGTTGTTAGGTTATTATAATCATAATCACAACAGATTTCTTTAAGGATCCATAAAATTTACGTTATCTGTTAAAGTTTTCTATACAGCAAAAAAACAAACACTTTCCATTTTCACTTAATTTGTTTCATAGATAATTTTAACAATTTTGAACCACAAAGACTAAAATGTAAAAGTCATAAGCTCTCTTAGGGTACCGTAAATTTTTTTTTTAAATCCAAGCTGTAACTTCAATGAATTTTACGTTTGGCTTTGTAACTCTCTTTATCCATTTATAAAAATTAACCAATTTGTATATTTACTTGATAATGCCATTTTATTACGTACTCAAATATTAAAAGAGATCATAAATTACAGAAATATTTGTTACAACAATCAGTAACATTTAAGCAAATATTTATTTTATTATTTATGGATTTAACGCAAAATTATAAGAGGGAGCGATATAAATTTACTAGCAATAGCAATTTACCTAATTGTAAATGAAAGACAGAAAACAAACGCCAATAAATTAATTAATTACTACTTAAATCGACTAAGTACTGTCTCTTATTAAGAAATGCAATTAATTTAATTCCCGTTAACGTAATCATTCACACTAGAAACAAATCGTTTAATCTCCCACGACCACTTTTATAGAAAGATAAGGAAAACGCAGCCAAACATAAAATCAATTCGCTTTCAAAAATTGAATTTCGTTCAATAGACAACAATCAAATTTTATGCAAACAGTCCATTATGTAAGCCAACATATGATTAATAAATTGCTTTTTCCAATTAAATGCCAGCACAAAATCAAATGTTTTTCTGCCGAATCGGAGACAGGATGTCACAATCGTTTTCGCTAGTAGATACTACGTATGTAGATAAATGTGTGCGAGAGATATAATGGTGTGTATGCGATTTATCAAAAAGAATTGCGTAAACGCCAAGATAAACATTACTCGAATAACGTCTAAATGTCTGACGAGAACTACACAAAACAGCCCAGCAGTCAAAGTCCATCTCCGTACGTCAACAAATTACTAATTCAAACAGTCTCAGTAACAGAATAATGATCCATATTCGGGCTTGATCGCCGTGATCTATGTAGGATTGTTTCTGCTCTTTTAGTGACAATACCGATGACTCGTTTATGTGACGTTTCGCCAGCTTCTGCAATGGCATCTTCAGGGAACGTAACGAGGGCTTATAAAATTCATCATTGCGGGTTTATTGCGACTTTGTCATCTTAATTGCCTCTTCCATTAAGTATTTTTTGATGAGTTTCTCTAATAAATTCTGTTGCAGCTTTTATATGCAAAATAAAAGACAATCTTTGTGAAATTCATAAGTCCACAAAAATTGTGCAATGTTAAGAAACCCTTATGTAGGAGCAGGTGGGTACTGAACATTACATGAAAACGTTTTTGTATTTTATAAAATAGCCCGCCTTTGATTTCGTATTTGCAGTTCCAATTGAGTCATGAATGAATATCGTCTTCTTAACAACTAACAACGAATGTTTCATCAAAAGTTGTATTCAGATATATACACAAGTTTTAAATTCTTCACGACGAGACAGAGTAAAGAAGAGCATTATCATCAAGAAAAGAAACGGTTACAATCAATTGTTTTAATCAACTTGTCCTAGTAACAAGTATCATACGATCCTCCTTAACGATACAACGATATTAAGATTCAATAAATTAGATTTAAAAGATAAAGCTTTCTCAACAGACGTAATACTTCATACATAATCATTATTTATGTTACTTCAACAACTATTGTATTTGAATAAAAACCCAATGATTTTCACTTTTTATAAATACACATATATCATAAATATATATACATTCATATATAATTTTTTGTTTCTTATGACTGACTACAGCATATTAAGGTCCAGGCAGCATCTACTGATCTTTGTTGCTAACTGACGTATTTAAATGTGTTTAAGAAGGACCATACCATGCAGCTTCTATATACATACAACTAGGTAATCCAAATTAATAAAATGATCAACTTGTTAATGTAATTTATCGAAAACACTATACGTGAATCGCGATTTTGAACAAAGTTCTCATCAGCACGCCATCGCCAGACAACTTATGCAGGTAAGGCTCCTGTCAAACACTGAAATACTGCAGCGGAAGCAGCAGATAGATGACAATCCACCTACTGCATGTACCTTGATACTACGACTTACTGATGAGAACTAATAAACATACACATATAATAATTTCCATGTCCTTTACCGAAAGTACGATATTCTTCCCGACATTTCCTCTCGGATAAAAAATCGCATTTACTCCTTATTATTAGGTGGGAAAGGATATGGACATCCTTCTCGTTATTTCCTTCGACTCAGATGGCAATTTCCACAAGGCGGATTTTAAAACACTTTCCTTAATAAACAGTAAATGCGTTTTCTTACCTGAGAGATTAAGTTGCGCTTAAAAATCTTACTTCCCGGAAATTTGCCACCCGGACGGGAATACCGCACTTTCTTCCCTTGGTGCGTAATAAACTATTACTTTTATTTCGTTTTACAAGAAAAGTGAGTTTAAATCTATTTACGTCAATCTCACAAGCAAGCAAAAATACTAATACATCACTCATGTTATAAACTTCTGAATAATTGGACGAGTTTTTGTCTATGCATAATTAATTCAAACGTACACTGTAACAACTGAACTTATGAATAATTCGTGGTCTTTCAGCAGTTGAATTATTGCAAGTTCCAATCGATGAAATCACAATTACTTAGGTACCTTCTTTACCGCCATAGGCACTGCGTGTGGCTCCTGTGTCTCTATGTTCTCATTTATTACAGCGGTAAACGGCTCGTCGCATTTATTAAATAATGTCATACGTTACCGCCGATTGTCGGCAACATTTTATATAGTTTCTCGGAACTAATTGAGATAATTTATATGAGGTATAATACCACATAGACAAACACACACACGCATACAGACACATACATAGATGAACAACATTTCATCCATCCACAAAACAACTGTTCCTAAAAGAAAACCTATTCCTAATCCTATAGGTTATTATGAACGGTTCCTGAGTATATTTATACACATATCTAGAGTGAATAACATTTCAAGTATCCATAAAACAACTGTTTTAAAAAAAAACTATTCCTCACCTTTATCCACAATCATTTATCCGAAAACCTAATTTGAGAGCCCGAATTCGGATTCAACGTAAAAAACCGTCACGTCGAAAACCGTTCAAGAATATATTGTTTATCGACCAGTAATCATAGAATTTCAGATGTCTGAAACCCGAATTTTTGCAATATTTCAGAAACTACGTATTCCGGATTTACATACTGGAGCTGGCGCAAAGCCCTCCGAAAAAGAGCATCAAACCCACAACCGTTGCATGCTCTTTTAGCCCGTGGAACACACATTAAGTACCTTTTAAAATCCGAAGACTTCAAATTGCGAATTACTTCGAAAACCATTAGATTCAAATGGGCTTAAATCACACTACTTCTAAGCCCCGAAAGAACTGAAAGCACATTTTTAAGCATAAACCACGAAAGCTCTATCCAAATTGGGTTTTAAATACATTTGCAGATGTTAATATTGAGACTGCAAAATAATTATAGTAAGTATTTTTCTGGAACACGTTTTTAGGTCTCTCTACCACATTCTTTATTACCTATGCGAAGTCCGATAAGTCTGTAGCTTTTGCCTCTGATACTTACAAATATCATCATTATAAGGTCGTCAGCTTTAAGACTGGTTGGACACGTACCTTCACTCTTTCCTATCCTGAGCCAATCTTTGCATTTCCCTACAACTAGGTAGAATAGCCCATATCCTTAGCCATTTGCGAACAGTAATCTAATCTAGATCTATGTGTACCCCTCCTAACTTCTGTCTTTAATATGTCTCTGACTACACCTTCATGCCTGAGAAGGTGTCCTACTAATCTATCTTGCCTATTTCTTATTGACTTCCATAGAGCCCTCTGTTCTCTTACTCTTTCTAATACCTCTTCATTTCTAACATTCTCTATCCACGGCATCCTCATCATTCGCCTGTATAACCACGTTTCGAACGCTTCTAACCTTTTCTTTTTCGCCGCGTCCACTGTCGATGTTTCGCACCCGTAGAGCGCCATGCTCCAAACATACACCTTTAACGATCTTTTTCGAATTTCTAAATTAACCATTCGCGAGCATAGATGTAACCTTTTTGATTGAAAGCGACTCGACCCTGCGTTATCCTCGGCTTCATATTCCTACTATTCTTTCCGTCCTGACTTATCTGACTTCCTAGATACCTAAAAACGGCCACTTCTAATTTTTCGTCTCCTACCTTTATATTCGCTCTTTCCCTATTTTTTCGTCCCTTGCATACTGGTATTTTTGTTTTACATTCATTTATTTTATTTTCATACAATACTGTTTTGTCAATACCGCTTCCATTTTATTTAAAGATACATCTAACTCCTCCTTGCTAGATGCTAATACTGCTATATCACCTGCACATCTAAGCATACTAATCTTTTGTCCCTGTACATCTAACCCTACAGTTGTACTGTCTAATGATATTGAACGCGTCTTCGATGTATAGATTAAAAAATAGCGATGACACTGTGCATTCCTGTCGGACTTAAAAATAATTATATATAAAATTATTAAAATATCTGAAAGGTTTGTGATTAGATCCCGACTAAGAAGTAATCAAGTGTTGTAGGCGTGTTACATCTTTAATCAATCATCAGCATATTAGAACTAAGTTAAGACACACTTAATGGTTAAATCGTTTTATTTTGATGTCTATAACATATTCTACCTTGGAAGTTTTTAATTTACGCCGTTCTTACTATGAGCATTACTGTCTTTTTTTTTTAATTGACAGAGCACACTTTTATTTGAGACAAAAGCTGATACAAATCCGCAGCTACAGTAAGCATCTTTTATTTAATTGATTCAATGGGTAGATTATTTTAATGTTTAATTGTTAATTTAGGCTTTGAAATAGAAAAAATGAATTAATAATCGAATTCTAGGTATATTTTTCCTTCATGCGTTACACTTATATTAATCTGAGAATACGGGCATTCATTCGTATTAAACAAAGACGTGCAAAAGTAGGTTTCCATGCTTGCATACCTGACCCTTGATCCTACTGAAATATTGAACTCTTGTCCTAAATTTTTTTAAACAGAAAAAAGAGGTCAAGAAATTTAATTTTCACTTTATTTGTTTATCAATCCCGCTTCATCACTTTCATTTATAGGTAGTGAAGGCTAATTTACTTATATTCAAACTTAAAATGAATGTAACTTACAATTAGTAACACACAAGTTCTTACTTAGGCATGTTCATTGTTTAAATGTGGCATATTTTTACGGTTCAGAGAATATACGCTACGTTATAAACATTTTGTCAGTGTAACCTAACTAATATTATAACTGCGAATGTAAATTTATTTGTTTGTTTATTACGATTTCAAGCCTTAACTACTCAACCGATCATCATTAAATTCTGTGCACACACTGTCAGGAGTACCTTTTATTTAGAAAAAAAAATCTGAAATAGGCGAGATAGGTTAGTAGGGCACCTTCTCAGGCATGAAGGTCTAGTCAGAGACATATTAGAGGCAGAAACGGGAGTTACGAGGGGTACAGGTGGACCCAGATTATATTACTGTTCGCAAATAGTTAAGAATGTGGGTTGTTCTAGTTTTAGAGAAATGCGAAGATTAGCTCGAAGATTAGCTCAGGATAGGAAAGAGTGGAGGTGCGTGTCCAGTCAGTCTTAGAACTGACGATCATATGATGATGATGATGAACGCGAACGAAGCCACGGGTAAAACCTGTCATGAAATTTTGTATGCATATTATCAAGGATACAAAAAAAGGGCATAGGGAACCTATTATCCAGAAAAAAAATACTGGAAATAGAAAAAAATATAGATAGAAATCTTAGGACGCGAACGCGAACGAAGCCGCGGGTAAAACCCATCAGGAAATTTTGTACACACATTGTCAGTGCTACAGAAAAGGATATAGGGTACCTTTTATCCACAAAAAAACCTATTCCCGCGGGATAAAAGAATTAGTTTTATGTGGTCGTCGATCACTTTAGTCACGTATTTAAAGCATCAATGTGAGAGAAACCGCGGGGTAAAACATACCAGGAAAGTTTGCATAGTCATTTTCAGAAATACATAAAAGGAGATAAGGTATCTTTTATCCAGAAAAAAAAAGCGATTCCCGAGGAATAAAACCTAGGTGGTCGTCGATGATCCTTGTCATGTATTTAAGGCGAGTGAAGTTGCGGGTAGAACCTAGTAAGTTATAAGACAAACCAACACAACCCGATAATTAGGTCGTTGTTAAAGAAAGGGTTTCGTTATAAACAGTTACATTATGAAGAGTTCAGGCTTTATATAATTTAAGGCTGCTTTTACGGCAAAAAAGTAAACCGAGTGGGCTATACGACAAAAGCCCCACTACTGAAAAATTACCTTATCAAGAGTATATGGGCTATCTATAAATTATGTAACCTAATTTGGGGGTACAAAGGGACCAGCCTAACATAACGAAAATTATGGTCTTGTTACGGGGATGGAGGTGAGAGTGAAGGTTCGAGTTGTTACGTAAGAATGTTTGATACGGTTTGAATTCGCGATAGTTTCAGTAAAGCAAATTTTTTGGGCTTACAGATATGTAAGGACTAGCACTGCTGAACTGCTGTTCTCTTATGTCTGAGTTAAGCCTTATAACCTTTTCAATGTATGTGTCACGTAACAGAAAGGGGTGGTCAACAACCGTAACGATTTTCTTATGTGTAATGGTGAGAGGGGATAAAAATTGACAGTTTGCCTTACGCGACTATGGATATCCCCTGTTACAATGCATAAGCATAAAATACGTAAATAATTATAATTATTAGGGTGTGTTGATACAGTACGTAACTAATCAATCTACTTCACGGAGAAAACTAAATTTTTATGACAACGCAAAAATTACAATTTTCGATTGTAAATGACTGAATTTGCCGTAGAAATCGCGGAATTTATTAGGTAAATTGTAATAATCTCAATGTTGACATATTTTTAAAAGTTTTTTAATTATTACAAATTAATTTGTAATATCAGCTAAAACACCTTGTAAATTTATTTCTGCTGGGATTTTATTTTTACCAGCTCGGGTCCAAATTATTATTTTTATTATTGTCGCTTATGAAGCGAAACGGGCTAGTGGGATAAATTGTAAATATCACTTTAATATTTAGGTAAATTTTCCTTTTTCATTTTCTCCATGTTTGATGGATGTAATCTAAGTGTAATTTTCTTGTTGATATGCATTATATTTATACCTCCGATGGAAGCACGAATACTCGTGTAGTTACTACAATGTACACACAGGATAATTGGACAAATTATGCACGTACGGTATCATCGCGATCACAGCAATATGCTATTTCACCAATTAAAATTTTTTGCAGGCGGAATTAGACCGACAAGGTTAATAAATAAGATGAACTTGTTTATCTGGTATACATATACCCATTCATGTACCTATAAATTGTTTACGTTTAAAACTATAGACTGGGAAATATCCGTGAGTATTATATAATTGTTTTACTATATTTGTTTCATGTGCTTTAAAAGTATCAGTTAAAAAAGAGTGGAACATACAACAAAAGATCCTAGTAACATATGATATTCTTTCTAGTAGTACCTGGTAGTGAAATTTTAGTTTGGAATGCAATCGCGCCTACACATACTTCGCCATTTTTCAACCGATAAGTACTATAAACACTTCGTTAGACACGTCTATTTTCTGAATTGTCTATTTTCCTGAATTATTTTAGGTTACCAGACTACATTTCGGAGGTAATATAAAAAAACAAAATAGTACGTGTCAAATAAGGAATGAAAAGATTTTTCCAACGTTTCGCCTCAGATTAGAGGTTTTATCAAAGTTGTGAATTATGTTGCTTCATGGAATACATTTACGGTTTGTTAATGGATTAAGTATCACCGACTTTTAAAAATACCTTGAAAAAGCCTCTAAACTGAGAGAAACGTTGGTTGTTTTTTAAAATAAAAAAGCTTTTCACCCTTTATTTGGCATGTATTATTTTGTTGATACTACTCAGGGGACGAATTATGGAATGTGATAATATAAAGAAGCAGAGAAAGATCATCACAGTCCACAGTGTATCATTAGATGACACCATTTTTTAATATATCTCGCAATAGGTACATTCAGTACCAAACCACCCGTCTGAAGAAGCCAAAGTCTGGTGAAAAATTGCTGCAAAGATAATAAAGTTTGTAGATATTTATGTGACTTTCACATTACTTATACTTATTTATGCATATACAAATATACTTATTTGCATAGATATAAAATTTGCAAACTTTTCTCTGTCTCCGAATATGAAAATATAAGATAAGTCTTTTTGTTCACAGTTTTAAAGTCATCTTTAAAATCTACTCTACACAAACTTCGAAAACAACTTGCAAGATAAGCACTCAAAAATTACATTTCTGCAGATGTACGTATGCTTTACTGATATCCCATTAAAATTACGAGGCAATTACGAGCTTTGAGATAAACATTACATTCATAAAACAGTAATGCCATCTCAAAAGATAATTACTATTGTGTACACTATACAGTATAAACAGTCTTTACACCAAAGCAGTACGTTGTGTGAACTACATAAGTAAAATAGTAGTTATCATCAAATTTGCAATTTAATTTCAATAAAAGATATTAAGTCCTAAATGTTTGAAACTACTTATATATGTTTAAGAACATACTTAGGTATCAGAGAAAAATCAAAAATGCAAGGTCATCATGATAAAAAAATAAAATTTGAATTAATTTCATAAATGACGCTATATTATTATTTTATTATAAAGCAGAGGATAGCGCAGGGTCGTGTCCCCTTTAATGAAAAGAAGTCACTTCTATGCTCGCGAACGGTTAATTTAGAAATTCGAAAAAGGTTGTTAAAGGTGTATGTTTGGAGCACGGTGTTGTACGGGTGTGAAACATGGACAGTAGGCGCGGTGGAAAGGAAAAGGTTAGAAGCCTTCGAAATGTGGTGTTATAGGCGGATGATGAGGATAACGTGGGTAGAAAAGGTTAGAAATGAAGAGGTATTGGAAAGAATA